CCCCCATGCTTGTTTTTGATGCCCCGTGTGTCGTTTCCCCACCTTCCCAGGCACAGGCACGCTGCCACCGCATTGGGCAGAGCAAGGCGGTGAAGGTGTACCGCCTCATCACCCGCAACTCCTACGAGCGCGAGATGTTCGACAAAGCCAGCCTCAAGCTGGGTCTCGACAAGGCTGTGCTGCAGTCCATGAGCGGGCGCGAGGGCAACATTACTGGGGTAGGGGTGATGCCGGGAGCTGCTTTCCTTGTGGTGTGCTTGGGGTAGCCTCAGCTGCGTGCCTCGCCAGCGCTGGACTGGGCTGGGCCAGGCAGGAAGGGGGGAAGCAGCAAGTGTCAGAGGAGGTTGGCATGGATGGGTAGGGGGAGGTTCCTCCCCCTCTTACTCCCCCCACCCCTCCATGCCCTGTCAGATCCAGCAGTTCTCCAAAAAGGAGATCGAGGACCTGCTGCGCAAAGGGGCCTACGCTGCCATCATGGAGGAGGACGACGAGGGCTCCAAGTTCTGCGAGGAGGACATTGACCAGATCCTGCTGCGGCGTACCACCACCATCACCATTGAGAGTGAGGGCAAGGGCTCCACCTTCGCCAAGGTACCACCCTCCTCAAGGTTCCCACCTGTGCCCAGTATCCCGGGGAAAGCTTGGGGTGCAGATGGTGGTGAGGGAGGTGAGAATCTAGGGCAGGAAGAGACCTGATAGACAACCCATGCAGGTGGCATTGGGTAGGGGGCAGCCCTGGGCCAGCACCGCCCTTCCCCCCGCCCCCGATTTGATACCTGGTGCTCTTCCAGGCAAGCTTCGTGGCCTCGGAGAACCGCACTGACATTGCCCTGGACGACCCCAACTTCTGGCAGAAGTGGGCCAAGAAGGCCGACCTGGACCTGGACCTGCTTAACAGCAAGGTTGGGGACAGGGCAGTGGGTTGGGGGGCAGGCAGGGATGGAGGAGGAGGTGGGGCTGTGAGGCACCGTGGGGGCAGGCAGGGGCTCTGGGGAGTACAGGTGCAGGTCTTGGGGGCTGTTTGCCCCAGTAACGCTGGAGCCAGCAGGTGGGGTGGGCAGATAGACAGGGGCACTGTGCCCCTGCCCCAGTGCAACCATCTGCCCTCAGAACAACTTGGTGATTGACACGCCGCGCGTGCGGAAGCAGACACGCCACTTTAGCACACTGAAGGACGACGACCTGGTGGAGTTCTCGGACCTGGAGAGTGAGGATGAGGAGCGGCCCCGCTCCCGGCGCCATGACCGGCACCACCACAGCACGCACCACACCTATGGCCGCACCGACTGCTTCCGTGTTGAGAAGCACCTCCTCGTCTATGGGTCAGCCCCACACCGGGCAGGGGTCTGAGCAGGGGGCAGTTGCTGGTCTGGGTGTTAGGGCCAGGTCTGGAGCTAAGGCTGCCATTGGCCTGCTCTGCCCTTGGCGGGTCATGGAGCTGCAGGGAGGCCCCCCGCCCTTCCTTTGCAGGGTGCTTTGAGGGTTCTCCCTCCTGGGGGAGAGGGGTGGGTTGCCGGGTCTGGGGACAGGGTGGGTGTGTGTATGTATGACTGCCGGGGGGGGTGGGCTCTGTGGGTCGGGTGGGTTCCAACACGGGTGCTGACCTTCATGTGTGTGCCCTGCAGCTGGGGCCGGTGGCGGGAGATCCTTTCACACGGGCGGTTCAAGCGGCGCCTGTCGGAGCGGGATGTGGAGACGATCTGCCGCGCCATCCTGGTGTACTGCCTGCTGCACTACCGCGGCGATGAGAACATCAAGGGCTTCATCTGGGACCTCATCAGCCCCAGCGAGAACGGCAAGGCCAAGGAGCTGCAGAACCATTCTGGTGAGGGCCCCCGCAGCCCACCCTGCCCGCCTTCAGGAGCGGCAGGCCCCGTCTGACACCTCCCTCCCTCCCTCCTTCCCTCCCTCCCTCCCTCTTCCCTCTGTCTGTCTGTCCGCCTGACAGGCCTGTCGATTCCAGTGCCGCGAGGGCGTAAGGGCAAGAAGGTGAAGTCCCAGAGCACGTTCGATGTCCACAAGGCCGACTGGATCCGGAAGTACAACCCCGACACCCTCTTCCAGGATGAGAGCTACAAGAAGCACCTCAAGCACCAGTGCAACAAGTAAGGGATCCAGCTCCCTCTCCATCCACCCCTTCCCTAGGGCACCAGGGAAGGGACCTGGGCATCCGGGTACACCATCTCTTGGCACCTGTCCCCTGGTTTCTTCCCAGTACAGCAGCTAAGGGATCCAGGCATCTGGGCTTCCCTACCTCCTCCACAGGGCACTAGAGAAACCCCGGATGCCTGGGTCCTATTCGGGCCCCACTGCTCCCTATACTTGACCCCAGTGCAAGATGGAAAAGATTGTGCCCGAGTGTTGATCCCACTGGCCACCAACAGAGGCCAGGTTGATGGGATCCAATTGCACAGGGGGAGTAGGTGATTTCTGTGCTTTTTTTTTCCTGACCAACCCTGTGCTGTCTCCACTTCTCTGCATACAGGGTGCTGCTGCGTGTGCGGATGCTCTACTACCTCCGCCAGGAGGTGATCGGAGACCAAGCCAACAAGGTGCTGGCTGGTGCCATCGCCAGGTAATGTAGCTCCCCCCTCCCACCCTGGCCTGTCTGTCTCCATTCTTTTGCCACCCATCTGTCCATGCTGGTGCTCATGCATCCTCTCTGCCCTCCTCGCAGCGAGATCGACATCTGGTTCCCGCTCGTGGAGCAGCTGGAAGTGCCGACCGCGTGGTGGGATGCCGAGGCCGACAAGTCCCTGCTCATCGGTGTTTTCAAGCATGGTGCGGGCGTGGGCAGATGTGTCACCAGGAGCATGGGGCAGGGAGGCTGCATGTGCATATATTGTTGCAAGGAATACGGGGTGGGAGGCTGTGTGCGTGGTTGTTGCAAGGGGGGCTTGGTGCATGTCTGTGGTGAGGATCAATCGCCTTGGGCAGGACCGCACGTGCATGCATATTGTGAACACGGGGCAAGAGGGGCTGCGTGCACGTATTGCCAGAAACGCAGGGCAGGGTGTGGGGGATGTGGCCAGTACTGGCAGACGGTAGGGTGATGGACTGGCCACCACCAGACCAGGGGTGTGAGAGCAGGGAGGATGAGAGCCCCCAATCGTAGCACCACTCTACCCTCGGTACACTGTGTTGGAGAGCAAGTGGGGGTCTTTCTGGGCCAGGCTGAGCCCCTGCATGCTTGGCCTAATGCCCGTCCCTCCCTGCCCCATAGGCTATGAGAAATACAACACTATGCGGGCTGACCCCGCACTCTGCTTCCTGGAGAAGGCCGGACGCCCCGATGAGAAGGCCATTGCAGCTGAGCAGCGCCTGGACGTGGCTGAGGGGTGAGTGACAGCAGATGCCCATGTGAGCTCACACTGCTAATATAGACCACCCCTGCCGCTGGCCAAGGGAGAGGGGGTACTCCCTGAGGGAAGATCTACCTGGGGTAGGGTGTGCCACTTGTTGGCTGCCTGTGATGACTCGCCATGCTAATACCGACCTCCGGCAAGGCACATGGCTCTGCTCTGGGGGCATGAGTTAAAAGTCTTCTCTCAAGGTCTGAGGCACCTACTTCTCTCGGGTGGGGAGCTGGGCTGGGGTGGCAGGGAAGGGGCCGCGTGGCTTACACCCCCATGCCCTGGGCTGCAGGGTTGACTTTGACAAGGACTGCGAGGACCCTGAGTACAAGCCACTGCCTGGGACAACCAAGGAACAGGACGACGAAGTGAGCAGAGCCTGGGGTACCCCCCCCCACCCATGCCCTTTCCCCTCCCCTGGCTGTATCTCCTGCAGCAGCCCTGGGCCATTCACCCCATGCCCACGAGACCCCCAGTATCTCCGTGGTTCCTGTGGCCCTCACTATGGGATAGGATTCCCCCTGGGGAAGGATGGAGGGTCACCCCTCGTGTCCACATGAAGCATGGGTGGAGGGCAGTGGGCTGTGTGGCATTTTCCTCTCCTTCATGCCTCTCCCATCACCTCCCCAGGGCGACCCCCTGATGATGCTAGATGAGGAGATCTCCGTAGTGGATGGAGATGAAGGTAACAGGAGGGAAGGGAAGGATTCACGGGCATGAGGGCACCTGCTTGAGAGCATCTACCTGGAAGGGGTTTGCACTGAGAGAGCTGAAGCAGGCAGTATCCCCTGTGGGGCGTAGAGGGGGTGCCTTCCCCAGCAGCAGACACAGGAGGGGTGACTTGAGGGGCAGCGAGCCTGGAAACGGTTCTCCTGCTCCAGGCTTTGACTCTTGCCTCTTGTCCCCAGGCCAGCCAGCCCAGCCAGGGCATTTGTTTTGGCCGCCAGGCTCAGCGCTCACCGCCCGCCTGCGGCGCCTGATCACCGCCTACCAGCGCAGCTACAAGCAGGAGCAGCTGAAGATGGAGGCGGCCGAGAGGGGTGATCGGCGGCGCCGGCGCTGCGAGGCCGCCTGCAAGCTCAAGGAGATGGTGCGTCGCGAGAAGCAGCAGCGGTGAGTCTGGGGCATGGGCATGGAGGGGAGCACCACTGGGTAGAACGGGGCCTACACACCTGCCTGCCTGTGGGAATACGAGCCTCTGACTACCCCCACCCCCCTGCTTGGACAGGTGGACGCGGCGGGAGCAGTCGGACTTCTACCGGGTGGTGTCGAGCTTCGGCGTGGAGTACGACCCTGACACGCTGCGCTTCCACTGGGGCCGCTTCCGCGCCCTGGCCCGGCTGGACCGTAAGACAGACGAGAGCCTCACCAAGTACTACCACGGCTTCGTGGCCATGTGCCGCCAGGTCTGCCGCCTGCCACCCGCTGCTGGCGACGGTGAGTGCGTATGTGTTGGTGTTGCCTGCCTGGCCTGCTTCTGCTGCCCCAGCTGCCAGTGCTGGGCAGGTGGCCACGTTGGTCCCCTCACCTGAGTCCCTTGCAGGGGAAAGCCGCAGGGCTCATGGTGGTTGGCATGGGTCCCTCTTCTCCCTTGGGAGCATCTTTCCCAGGGGCCTGCCCAAGGGAGCAGGGGCATGTGGGGAGGGAACTAGTGACACCCTATTTTCTGGTAGGTACCCCAGAACATGGCCTTTATTGGAGGGGTTGGGGGGCACGGGGCAGGTCTGTGGGGCCTGAGGGCCAAGCTCTGATGGGGAGCAGATCTAGGGGGCACAATCATGGGGCGGGGGGCAGGTCCATGGGGTTGCAGGGCTGTGCTCGTATTGGTGGGGAGAGGGGGTGCAGGAGCACCAAGGCTGTGGGGCCCTACACTCACCGCACGCCTGCCCCGCAGAGTCCCCAGACCCAACGCTGTTCATCGAACCGATCTCAGAGGAGCGGGCGTCGCGCACCCTGTACCGTGTGGACCTCCTGCGCCGGCTGCGGGAGCAGGTGCTGTGCCACCCGCTGCTGCAGGAGCGCTTGGCGCTGTGCCCACCCCCAGGCTTGGCCCTGCCCGCCTGGTGGGAGTGCGGCCGCCACGATGGCGAGCTGCTGCGGGGGGCTGGGGGGCTACCTGCATGGCCATGCTGGCACGCCGCAGCCCCCTGGGGTTGGCCTTGCCCCACTGCCCCCCGCCCCAGAGCCACCGGCCGCGCTGCCACCTGCCCCGCTCCCGCCCCCTGTGCCCCCCAAACCAGACTCGGCCGACGACTCGGATTCAGAGCTCGACCTGGGCAAGCTCTCGCCCTCCTCATCCGGCTCCTCCTCATCCTGCTCCGACGACAGCGAGGATGAGCGGGGTGAGTGCCCCTATTCAGGCTGTGCTGGGGTTGGGGGGAGCCTTTCTTGCGCAGGGCAGAGTGGCGGTGTCTGGTGTTCCCCAGGCTTCTGGGCTTTGCTGGCTGCCCCGTGGGGAGTCCATCTACCTCCCCTCATCCTGTTGCTACGGGTATCGGGTTTTTTGCCTTCCTCGGTAGCACTGGGTCTTGGCTGCAGCCTAAGGTGGGGACCATCACTGGGGTGTGAGGCTCACACCCAGAGGGTCCTACCTAGAGGGTCTTGCTTCTCCACTCGGGGTCAGCTCAGTGCTGTATTGGGGTCAGGAAGGAGTCCGTCCGTGCGTGTGTGTGTCCCTGCTCAGATGGGCATGGACCGGGGCAGGTGGGAAATTTTACCTCTTTCTGTGGCAGGGAGCACGGCCTCTGCCTAGGGTCTCTCGAGCACGTGTTAAGCTTTGCACGGGCAGGATGTGGGCAGTGCCCTTGGGCCCCCTGCTTTACCTGCAGCCAGGGTCTCCCCTGGGGGGAGGCGACTACCCTGGGCCCTGCACTTTGGGGGGTCCTGCGGTTGGTGCCACTGCCGCCGAGTGCTGCTGGCTTCGGCTGCTCCCCCCAACCCTCCCCGGGCCCTGCACAGGCTGATATGCCCTGGGTCCCACACACCTCTAGGGACAGCTCTGCCCGCAGCAGGTCTGGGCGTTCTGGGAGAAGGGGTTAGCTGTGCTAGTCTGAAGGCAGGCAGTGGGCCTAGAAGGCATTTGACAGGCACGTGCCCCAAGCTCTGCACTTTCCTCAAGTGTCCCTCTGCCCCCTTTCCCGGCCTGATTTGCTGCTCTGCTTTCCGCTTCCTTCCCCACCTGCTGCTCTTGTTCCTGCCCCTTCCCCCACCTGCTCCATGCGTGCACGTGGGCTGCCCATGCCTCTTGTGGCCGGCCACCCCTGTTACAGACCAACTGAATCACAGATGCGTGAGGGGTAAGAACGGGCTGGGCTGGGGTGTCGGAGCTGCAAGGGTCCTTTTAGACATGCCCCCATGTCGTGCTGCCTTTTGGAGTAGCTCTGACAAGAGCAACCCATCGCTGAGCAGGGGCTAGACTGGGGTTGCCCCCACCCTAACCCCAGCTTTAATAGCAATAGCTTATTGGGGGAGGGAGCAGCTGCTTCGCCCTCCTCTGTGTTCCCCCTAGGTTGCCCTTCTCTGTCCTGGGAGCTGCCTGGGGCTAAGGGTGGGGCTGCTGCTTCTGCTCACCCCTGCCCTGTCCCCATGCCAGGCGCAGAGCCATCCTGTGGAGGGAAGCTGTACGAGGAGGAGGAGTCGCTGCTGTCCTTGCCCACCTCCCGCGAGGGTGACTCACCCCAGCCCAGTGCCCCAGAGCTGCTGCTGCAGGAGCGGAACCGCGCCCACGACTGGCCCAAGGTAAGGTCAGGGGTCCTGGCATGGCTGAACCCTTTCTCAGGTTGGATCCCCTTGGATGTCTGCCTGCAGCGGGAGGGAAGTTGCCGTGGGTCCACTGGTGACCCGCACTTACTCTAACTGGGGCCACATAAATCTGGTTTGTTGGTGGGCGTAGTTGCCATGTCTACATTAACCATCCCCATCTCCCTCCCCACCCAGGACCGGGCTCTCCTTAGCCGCATCGACCTGATCTGCCAGGCTGTGCTGACCGGGAAGTGGCCCTCTGGGCCACGTGGACCAGAGGTCTGCAGGGGACCAGGAGAGGGCATGGCCCGACTGCCTGGGGACTACGGCCCTCCTGCCCCCCGTGTCGGCCCCCCTGAAGAGGCACCCATATCCTACACACGGCTGCGGCACAGCCCCGAGGAGAAGGAGTTCACAGTGCAGATCAAGGATGTTAGTAGGGGAGCAGGGGGTGCACGCATGTGTGTGGGGCAGGGGGTAGGGAGGTGCCCATGATGACTCGCCATGCTAATACCGACCCCCAGCTGGGCCCGCAGCTTGGCTCTGGCAGGGGGGGGTGAGTTCAACTCTCTTCACAAAGAGCTGAGGTGCCCTGTGGCATGGGGGGGAAGTTGGGGGTAGGGGTCAAGCTTTGGCTTCTGTTCCCTATTGAACCTGCTCTGACTCCCACCCCCGGCCCGCAGGAGGAGGGGATCAAGCTGACCTTCCAGAAGCACAGGCTTGTCCCCAATGGCGCCATGCGTGAGCGGCATCAGCCCCCACCCCAGCCTCATGCCCACGCCCACACCCATGCCCACACCCACAGTCAGGGCCATGGCCACGGACATGGGCATGGGCAGCCCCAGCATCTACAAGGCCACAAGAAGAGCAGCAAGAAGTTGGTGGAGGTGAGTACAAAGGGTTGTTGCTGCTGGGAGAGTGCTCTGGGGGCAGGGACGTCTCTGCCAGGGGCTGTCACTGTTGCCACTGGTCTGCAGCGCCCCGAGGGGCAGCAGGAGTTGGTCAGTCAGTGTCTGTCCCTGTCTCCTGATGGAGATTCTTTCCCCTTGCCCTCGGCCCCAGCTGGAGCTACAGTGCCTGGAGAGTCTGCGGGGCCCTGACATCGACCTGGAGGCTCGGATCCCAGTGGTTCGCAAGGCAGACGGAACGGTGCTGGTTGGGGAGGCAGCGCCACGCCGTGCTGACCTCGAGGCCTGGCTGCAGGCGCACCCTGACTTCGCCATTGACCCCCGCTTCTTGGCTGTGAGTGTCACGTTTATTTGGCCTGTGTGGGGCACCCTGTCCCGCACTCCTCCAGACCCTCACTGTACCCCCACTTTGCTTGTGCGTGCGGCCCCATCTGTGTGCCTGGGGCGGGTGGGTGCTGCCTCTCGGGCTGTCCAAGCTGCCCAGATCTCAGACTTGGAAGGACCTGTGTTCTCCTGGGTGTGGACGGGGGCGGGGGGAGGCAGTTTTGCTCTACATGGGCAGCACCTGGCACCGGACTTTGGGGGCAGCAGAACAGCAAGGCCACTGACCCACCATCCTGCTCTCTGCCCCTAGTACATGGAGGACCGCCGCAAGCAGTACAAGTGGCACCGGTGCCGGAAGCCAGGCATGGCCGAGGTTAGCTGCCTTCCCGGGCTGGAGCGGGGGCTCATGCCCGACACCTCAGGCACCAAGAAGGTGAGAGGCCAACGGCACCCTCCCCCTAAGCCCCCTCCTGCCCTCCCTGTCTCTGCTTCGGCTGCAGTGGGGTGACTTGAAAGGGGCAGTTATGGAGCAGGGAAGGGCTGAGGCCAGACTCGATCCTTTTCACAGGTATGGCCAGGCCTTGCTGGCATCGTGGTTGTTGCACCTCGGGACACGGATGGGGGTCTCCTAGGAACTCAGGGGAGGCTGGGGCAGGGAGGTCCTAGCACTAACCATCATCCTCCCTCCCTCCCTCCTTTCTTGCAGGGCTACATGCCCGACTCCATGTTGCACCGCCTCCTGCCAGGCCCCATGGCTGCAGCGGGGGGTCAGAAAGCACGGGGCCGCCGGGCAGGCGTGGACCTCTCCAAGATGGTTTCGCTGATGGGGGGTGCAGCACAGGGCCAACTGGGGGCTATGGGGCCCCTGGCCCTGCACAGCCACTTCCAGCCTGGCCCTGCCCCAGGCACCGCGCTGCCCTACGCGCCCTTCCCCGCACCCGCAGCCTCCTCCTCCGCCACCCTACTGCACCCCGGGCTGGGCCACGGTAGCTATGCTCCCGGCCCCCCGCTGCACCTGGGGCACCCGGGCCACCTGCAGCCAGATGAGGACGACGACGAGGACGAAGACGAGATGGACGACTTGTCTCAGGGCTACGCCAGCTCCGAGCGGGACTTCTCCCTGCTCGACGACCCCATGATGCCGGCCAACTCGGACTCCAGCGACGGGGCCAACGAGGAGGGTGACTGAGCGGAGGACCAAGGGCCGGATGGACGGACAGACAGGACAGCGGGACTCCTGGGCTGCCCAGGCCCTGATGGGCGCTGCCGCCGGCTCCACGTGCACGGTGCTGCAGCCCCCGC